TTTACGCCGTAGCAGATTTCTTTTCTTTAACGTTAAAAATATATTTATAGATTTATAACATTACTGCAAGACGATTTAGAGTTTATCTTTGTTTGTGTACGGTATATTATGTCCAGTTTTTCACTCATAAGCCAGCATTGGCTGGTATCAGTTTTAATTTGAAATTTAGAATAAATAAAGAACAAACCTAATATGCGTAAGTTACAGTAGTATGTGTATGTGTATTTTGGGTATTTTTGTATGTGTATTGTATAAAGGTAATAATAATTTAACCGTAAACCTCGAATAGAAGGCCTGGGCTTCTTCTTCTCTCTTTAGGACCATTGGATAGGCTTCATTTCGAGAAGGGTTTCTTTTCGAGATTACTTTTACAAATTAAAGAGTGGGGGAGGGGGAGGGTGCTTCGTTTCCAAATGATTGCTATACATTTTTCAATAGGCCTATGGAATTCGAAATTCTATTTAATATTTTTGTTTTAATTTCAAGCATGCTAGTACAATAAAATGATATCCAAACTGGCCCGCTATCACAATAATCAGCTTGAATATATTATCTCGAAAGAAGCCCACATTATCTTGAGTAGAAGGCAATGTTCTTCTTTTCGAGATGGACTTCTTTTCGAGATTACTTTTGCAAGCTAAAGAGGGGGCTTCTTTTCGAGATGGACTTCTTCTAGAGATTAAGCCTATGCGATTTTTCGAGGTTGTACGGTGGTTTGAATACTTTAACGATAAAAAAGCGACAACGAAAATATGATTCCTTTGTCACAAATAGGCATTATATTATTAAGGACATAAAAGTATCTCATTACAATTATTATATGTGATATCAATTATATTTATAGGTAACTAGGTAGAGCCTACTATATGTTGATACGTTTTATAATTAAGATTTTAATCATTAGTAGTATACAGGCCTAATTAATGTATAAGCCTATAGCCGTACACACACACACACACACACATATACATACATGCATATATATATATATATAAATATATATATATATATTATATATATAAATAAATAAATATATATATATATATATAATTATCGCTCCTCGTGGAAGCACTTACCTAATATATCGCTCGAAACTATTAGGTAACGTGCCTACAGTACTCAGGCCGTCCGCGATGGGTCCACCCTAAAATGGCCAAAATATCGAAAATGGAAAAATCATGTTGATGCAAAGTACATACAAATGCATGTATTTTACTAATGTAATTTACGTTTTTAAAATAGGCCTACACTAAAATAATAATATACAAACATATTTGGTTCTAAATGTTGTGCATGTGTACAGAAAGAAGAAAAAAATACGAGGGACTAGCTCAGAGCGAAAAAATGGAATTCTGCTAACCATTTATATATTTTTTAAATATTTTTTTTTAATAAAGAAAATATCATGTTTGTGTTGGCCTAATGAACCAGAAAAAAAAATGCAATTTGATAGAAGTTTACTTTATATATTTTAATTTAAAAACTTTTACATTTCAATTAGAAGTATTTATTAATAATCGCTAATTAATCGGCGTAACGTTAGTTTTCCTTGCACACATAATTTTATATTGATCAATTGTTTTTAAGATATTAAAAATAATGTTTTTAAATGTCTAATAAAAAAATAATTTGCAAAAATGTAATTATATTTTTATATTGATATTGCTTTCATACTAAAATTAAATTTAATATTAGTTGAGGATACAACTGTATATATTTTTCCATTAATACTATAATTATAAAATTATATCATTGAAATTATAATATACTATTCAATATTTGTAGAAATGAAAATGCATCATTTTGAAAATACAATATAAACAAATTGTACATATATTTAAAATAGTAATTGGACAGAAAAAGTTAAAAACAATATATTGTATAAGAGCATTCAAATACAGAATTACTAAATTATTAAATTGCACACATCTTTACAAAAAGAAAAAAAATTAAAAAGAGAATTCACAAATTTACAAAACATTTAAAGGAGTTGTATTGTAGGCATATATATTTACAATTTTCAATGTAAAAAAAGAAAAATCCCACAATTTTAATTTTAAATTCAAAGGGTTCACAACATATATAATTTTAAAAAGACTTGGTAAGAGGAAAAATTGTATTAACATTGCTAAAAAGTTTAATTAATTACACAGATATTAAAGGGACATAAACATACGGTGTTTAAAGGAGGCAAAATAACCTTCAAGAAAAAATGTTATTATAATCCTTTTAATTAAATGAACAGATCTATGTCATAATTTAATTTTCTAGAAGATTATCTTCTTTTTTTTTTTACTGTAGACAGGATAACATTAAGTTTCAAATTTTCTATGTTTTCTGCCTATTTTATTCTGAAAGAAGAAATTGACGCGGAACGTCTTTGGCGATAGCAGATTAATTC